TTTCACGCTTTGGATTGGGGTAGATATTCTTGAATCGGATTTATTATTATTTTATGATTCCAACCTCGGTTTTAGTGTTTGATTAGTGATTGAATTGAAGAAAGTGGGGAGTTTGGTAAAAACTTTTCTAAAATATAAATTGATGATTTGAAGGCCGAAATTGGATGATTTTTGTATGGTTAAATGTTGCCGCCAAACTCATATGCAAGTATATGCGGTCGGCAAGTAATAAAGTGATGAGAAAGTATCATTCTCACGAGGATTTATGATCAACTTTAAACTATTTATAAATTTATTGTTCAAGTGGTTGTGAAGAAAATGATTGTGAATTTTTATTAACTAAATTACTACGAAACTAATAAGCAAACAAGAAAATACGATCGCAAGTAGAACAAACAAACACTTAAAAAGAATTCAATGAGATGAGGATATTCTAGGGTTATAGGATTAGCGTCTCTCTTATTGCGTTCTTACGGTTGATGTAATCACTTGACTTATCTAATCTGTTGATTCGAAGGTTTTATTATGCTCGTGAATTTCTTTCGATGCTTCGCTCGCCTATACAGGCCAACCTAAGACTATATGTCTGTATAATCAAAATTGACAAGAACGCATGTATATTTCCTGCAAGAATAACCAAGTAAGGCAACTAGAATATGTCTATCCTAATCGCGAATCTATTCTCCGATGCCCGAATTCAAGAACTTACTCTACTCAATCTTGTATGCAATCTATAGTTTCCACTTTCGAGTTCAACTATAAATTCGTAGATAGTACTCTATTGTTAGCTACGCAATAGAATAATTAAGTGAAAGATTGAATAAATAACTAATATGATAAAATCAAGCAACACAATCAACCGTCAAATTACAATAGTCAAACACGATCCATAACCCCAGAATAATGAGGTTCTTAGCCACTCATGTTCGTGACATAATCAAAATATTATTTTCAAAAATAAAAGCTATTAATATTAGATGAAGGATGGAAGAATCAATGAATTTCATGCTCCCGAGTGTTCCTTGCTTGTGTTTTTCTCTCAAATTGGAGTCTACCTTTCCAAAATAGGTTTAAACTTCCTTTTATACGAGTTAGGGGCATGTAGGGTCGAAATAACGTTGTCTAGCGCAAAATAGGAGACTTCAGCACCTAGGGTAGCATGGGGTGCTAGCCCTGGCACTGAAAAAAAATTTCATCTGTAAACTGTGCCACGAGTAGCGCGGGGCGCTACCCAGGGCGCTACACTGGCCCATTTTTTTGTTTTGTTCCCTTTTTGCTTCAAATCATGCACTTTCGTCCCACATTACCTCCGGATGACTCCTACACATGACAATACCATGAATTATATAAATTATTATATTACACATCCAAAATATGATTAAAATGCGAGGCAATATGCATATAAATATACATACTTTAAGCTGATCATTGAACTCGTATTGGAATATGTATTTGGAATTTGTGAGTTTTATCGGGTTTCGAGGTGCGGGCCCGAGGTTGACTATTTGAGTTGACTTTTTGATTTTAATTAAGGATCTTAACTTTATTAATTGAAATTTGTTTCTCTTGAATTGATTGATAACATTAATTCGTTTTGGCTAGATTCGAGTTGAGCGGAGTGAATTTAAAGGAAAAGCTATTTTTGAGTGTTGAATTGGCCTAATTGAGGTAAGTATTTTTTCTAACTTTGTGTGAAAAAAAAATTTCCATAGAATTTGGTCTGATTGTACTATTTGAATTATGTGAAAGACGTGTACATGAGGTGGAAAGCGTGAATACAGTCTTATATGTGGCATCTGGCCGATTTAGACTCTTAGATTATTTATATGCACTTAATTGAAGTTAATATTTCATGGAATATCTTTCATTGTTGAGTTTATTCCTTCCATTTTATTGTGTTGTTGTTGAAATTCTTGAACACATTATTGTTGAGCCGTGAGCTATGTGTGGCTTCGACCGAATTAGACCGTAGGCTATTAATATGCCTTTATGTGATGTTGAACTTTATATGAAACATATTGAAATCAATTTATGACTACTTTATCATACTCAATACATTGACTTAGCACTTGTGGATATGTTGAGCGAATTGATTGGGGTGTCAGCACGAGGTTTGCTATACGATTGTCTCTATCTTTGTGCGCGTGGGGCGAAATAAGGGTTGTGTTATCTCGGGCCGTCCACATGGAAAAAAAAGGGTGGCTATATGTGCATGTAGCGAAATAAGGATGGCATATCATATTAATATGCATATGCAGCGTAATAAGGGTGGCTATATGGGGATGTTATGTGATGGCCTGAGGGTGTATTGTTGATGAAAGAGGAGTATCATAATTGTTGCTTTTGACTTCCTTGTGTGTGTCATTCATATTACGTAATTTATTATATTTTTCCTAATGTGCTACTCGGTGTCTCTGATATTACTTGATGATTCCAGTTGTGATAGTACACTTGCACATACATACACCGTAATATATCATTTATACCAGTCCAGGAATATAAAACTCGATGTTCATTGATCATGTACATGTATTCTTGTATATATGCTTTCTCTGCGATATAGTTGGACTGTTAGCATGTGACCATGCCGGGCGGATTGTGATATTGAGCATGTGACCATGCGGGACAGATTGTAATATTGAGCTTGTGACCACACCGGGCAAATTGTGATTGTGAACCTGTGATCATGTCGGGCGGATTGAGATATTGGCACGTGAGTTATCCGTGCATTATGTGAGTTGTCCGTACGGTTGTGATTGATAATGTGGGAACAAGGTGCCATTTATTTATGATTTGGGATTTGAGACTCGTAACTTGTGGTTATGAGGTGTGGTATCTCGAGGTAATTTTTGTTGTAAACCTTGTATTAGAATGACTTGATTATTTGGTTTGTCATTTGTTTTCCTAATTGGTTTTACTAGTACTTTAATTGTGTTCTGATTACCTTATTGTTTTATCACATGTTTAATCCTTGTTGCCATTTACTGATTCTTATTTTCATTATTAGCTTTATACTAATATTCTTACAAGTTATTATGTCTAGTGGGTGTCTTAACTTGTACCTCGTCACTACTACACCGAGGTTAGTCTTGATACTTACTGGATACCGACAGTAGTGTACTCGTACTACGCTTCTATATATTATTGTGTAGATCCAAGTATTGGAGATAGCGGACTCAGGATGAGTTAGTTTCTTGATCGTGAGGACTCAAGGTAGAGCTGCTTGGTTGTTGCAATTCGTTGGAGTCCTTTCCCTTACATTGTACTGCCAAATTTCTATTCGAACAGTATTGTATTTTGAGATATTTGTATGTATTAATTTAGTGTTTGTAACTTGTTCTACCTAGTTTTGGGGATTGTAGTGATTATCGCCGTGTTGGCATGTATCACCTTTAAATTTCTTATTTATATTAAATTATGCTTCATAATATCATGTTTAATTGGTTTAACTATTGTAAGTGATCGGCTTACCTAGTTTTAGAGACTAGGTGCCATCATGATCCTTAACATGAGATTTTAGGTCGTGACATGTTCAAAGGTGGAGGATGAGTTTGATTAATAATGCAAAGTTGAAGTAATGAAAATCATTTTCACCAGTTAATTTTTACCCCAATGCAACATAATGAATGATTAATCACATAAGTTGATTGTATTATTGAAGGAAAATAAAAAGATTAGGATAATTTTAGAGATCTTCTTCCAGGTTTTGCTTTATCACATCAACCTCTCTTGTGGTTTAAGATATTATATTTATTTCCCTTATTTTAATTTTTTGTAATAATTTTTTTAACCTATTTATCATTAATATAAAATATTATAATTGGACTAATCTGCCCTCAACATCAAGCTAGGTTTGTCACTGCTCGTAAGAAAAACCTCAAATCCATAGACGTCAACAGGTTGATACAAATAAGAATTTTTACTCTATGAAATACAACTAAGAAAGAACACCTACTTGCATAAAATTCATTGGACTATTAAAAGTAGATTTGGTACCACTAGACCAAAAGTAATGTGCCCTGTAACTCTCAAACTACACTGAGGATTAGTAACTTGGAAGAAAGGTTTCATTTTCTTGGAGGCCAATTACAAAGTAAGATATTTTTTGAAGCAAAGTTTGAGGACCATTTCGCATAAGTACTGGCTTTGAAGTTGTCATTAGAGGGCTTCCTAGCGTGCCAATTTGTCAATATTTTAGCTATATCTTTGAAGTCACCATTTGGTTTGTGTGTGCATACCAGTGCCCTCTTCCACAGCCTTCATATGAATGCTTTTGCTTCACTGCACGAATCTAATGATTGTGGTGAGCTGTGGAAATGCTCTCATAATGGGCTTTCGGCATTTCTAGTTGCAGGTCTATGTCCACATAAAGAGGAGGATTGTTGTAGGTGACGACCAATGTAAAAATAGTAAAATTATAATGAATCCTCTGGATGTTTAAATGATACAAATGATTCATATAACTGACCTGAGCTAGTTTGGAATTGAGTCACAGTTACTTGATTGATTCATGTCTTCAAATTAAAGCTACCAAGAGGAAAAAATTAAACAAAAGGACCTATTCCTAATGATGCTGCCAATACATGATAATGGAGCTGAAACTACCCATCTTATGCTTAATAATGTAGCTGAAGATAATTACCCTGTAAGCATAAAACTAAGAGTATTCCCCTAGTCCAAATCATGTGTTAACCTCATTTCTAATTGTGTGTTCAACAACGTATCCCATAACAACCGACAAAACTCTCACTTGGAATGAACAAAGCCAAAGATGAAGGATACCACGATATTCTAGTTTACAAGATGAGGTCAGAGTTATAACATGTGACAAATATTTATTTTTCTTATTTAGGTACAAGATCATTACATTTTCACCCAAAAGCTAAGCAAAGGTTACACCAGCGTAGTCTTAAGCGACAGTCAACAACCTATTTTGCTGCAAAAGGTAAGTGTTAGCACTGGATTCCGGTTCAAATTCTAGTATAAATAGGTATGGCGCAGCATGATTTGTAACATAAGAAAAAAGAAAAAGAAAAAATCTAGGGAAGACATGGAAAAACATTTTCTAGTTTCTCCAATATTCTTCATAGTTCTCTTCACAATACCATGTAATTCCCAGATACATGCATGTTATAAGAGTGACCCTAATACCAGCACTTATGGTTTTTGCAACACTTCTTTAGCTTATACAGACAGAGCAAAAGACATAGTATCGCGGTTAACTCTCCAAGAAAAAGTGCGACAGCTAGTTAACTCTGCATCAGGCATTCCCAGGCTTGGCGTGCCAGCTTATGAATGGTGGTCTGAGGCGCTACACGGGGTGTCAAACACGGGGCCTGGAGTACGTTTCAACGCAACAGTGCCTGGAGCAACCAGTCTCCCAGCTGTCATTCTTTCTGCTGCTAGTTTTAATGTTTCCTTATGGTATACTTTAGGAAAGGTTGTATCAACTGAGGCTCGGGCCATGCACAATGTTGGCCTCGCTGGATTGACCTATTGGAGCCCCAATGTCAATGTCCTTCGTGATCCCAGATGGGGAAGGGCTCAAGAAACACCAGGGGAGGACCCTCTAGTGGTCTCAAAGTATGCTGTTAACTATGTCCGAGGCTTGCAAGAAGTCGATGGAGAAGAATATTTCAGCAGTCAAAACAAGCTTAAAGTCTCGAGCTGTTGTAAACATTACACTGCTTATGATCTTGATAACTGGAAGGGAATTGATCGGTATCATTTTGACGCCAATGTATATAACCAGGAAATTAAGCTGCCGTTCAATTTGTTTGGTTACAACTTGGAAGTTATAATAAGCAGTGAAATGAAAATTTTTCAGGTGACAGCACAGGATATGGAGGATACATTCCAGCCACCATTTAAAAGCTGTGTAGAGGAGGGTCATGTTAGCAGTGTGATGTGCTCATACAATCGCGTGAATGGAGTTCCAACTTGTGCTGATCCAAATTTGCTCAAAGGAGTGATTAGGGATCAATGGAGTCTAGACGGGTTAGTTCCTATTCTCTGTAATGCCAAAATGTAGAAGCCTCTATAATAGCTACACCTGATTCATAAATTCTTTAAATCACTAATCAGCAGCAGCACTCAGAATATAAATAATATACTAAACATCTGATAAACTCATTGCCAATTAAGAAAATTATAATTTTCACTACCTTCTAACGTCGCATGTTGCGATATGGTTATTATCAGATACATTGTCTCTGATTGTGACTCAATTGAAGTTTACTATGATGCAATACACTATACTGCCACACCTGAGGATGCAGTCGCCCTTGCTCTGAAAGCAGGTCTTCTAAGTGCTTTTCTCGAGTTATTCTTGCATAGAGGTACAATTTTCTATACAGGTTTTCAATGATTGTCATAATTGTGCAGGTCTGAACATGAATTGTGGGGATTATCTAGGAAAGTATACAGAAAAAGCAGTGAATCTGAGCAAGGTGGACGTGTCTATAATTGATCAGTCACTTATATATAACTACATTGTACTAATGAGGCTTGGATTCTTTGATGGCGATCCAAAACTGCAACCATTTGGAAATCTTGGACCATCTGATGTGTGTACCAATGATCATCAGTCCTTGGGAATTGAAGCTGCAAAACAAGGAATAGTTTTGCTAGACAACAATGGAGTGCTTCCTCTGTCACCAAGCAACGTCAAACACTTGGCTCTTATAGGTCCCAACGCTAATGCCACTGGGACAATGCTAAGTATCTACGCAGGGGTACCTTGCCGCTACACCACCCCTTTACAGGCGATGCAGAAGTATTTAGCGAGCATAACATATGAGCCAGGATGTGCAAACGTTCAGTGCACTGATTCAAGCCAAATCAAAGCAGCAGCCAAGGCTGCAGCTGCAGCTGACATGGTGGTGCTTGTTATGGGGCTTGATCAATCCATCGAGAGAGAATCACTGGATAGAGTGAACTTGACATTGCCAGGGTTTCAAGAAAAGCTTGTAAAAGACCTGGCTAAGGCAGCAAATGGATCAGTCATTCTAGTGATTATGTCAGCCAGTCCTATTGATGTAACCTTTGCTAAGAATAATAAAAAGATCGGCGCAATTTTGTGGGTTGGCTATCCTGGTCAAGATGGTGGTGATGCCATTTCTCAAGTCCTCTTTGGAGATTATAATCCAGGTGCTCTTAAAACTCATTCCCAAAACATTCAAATTCCCCAAAAAACGACGTTTCTTTCTTAATTAAGTAGGTTGGCAATTTCAGGTGGGAGGTCTCCTTTCACTTGGTATCCACAAGAATATGTTGACAATGTAGCAATGAATGACATGAACATGAGAGCAAATGCCAGTAGAAACTTTCCAGGAAGAACTTACAGATTCTATAATGAAAAATCAATATATCCATTTGGCCATGGACTAAGCTACTCAACCTTTTCTTCGTTCATAATTTCGGCGCCTTCCACCATTGTCGTAAAGCAAAAGACAACCCATGACTCAGATACCATGCTTTTATCTAACTTGACTACCCAAGCCCTTGATATTTCAAACTTGAATTGCCAGAGTTTAGGGTTTAGCATCACAGTTGGGGTCAAGAATAATGGCAATATGGATGGATCCTATGTGGTTCTAGTGTTCTGGAAGCCAACAAATATGCAAGGAGGACTTACTGGAGCGCCTAATATACAGCTGGTGGGGTTTGAAAGAGTCTGGGTGGAGAAAGGGAAGACAGCAACAGTGACAACAAAATTGGATGTCTGCAAGGATTTCAGCTTAGCTGATGCATATGGGAAGAGGAAGTTAGTTACAGGACTGCACACTATAGTTGTTGGTTCTTCAAGTGATCGCCAAGTTAGGCATCCCTTTAACATTAGGCTGGCTACAAAAGAAGAATACGGAGCTCTACTTTACGTCTAATTCTTAAGAAACATATTAATGCAGCGTGCTTGAATTTGTGCTCTCCACTATTATTCTAGAATTTACTGCTAGAAAAGAGAAGCATTTATCTAGATCTAGAGTCGAGGAGCATCTACAGGGTAGAAGATTGCTGACTTATATGAAACAACCAGAAGATTGCGCTGACTTATATGAAACAACTAATGTAGTGTAATATGCAATAAATTTATAACTTGATTTCTATTCTTTATCTTCTTCTATTGCTTTGTGTTATAAGATATCTTCTTCGCACATTCACTTTTATCTCTGTCCGTTATAGTTTCTAACCTTAAAAAACATCCATCCCTTTGATAAATACATACAGTTATTTTATACTGAATAATAATCGCTTAAAATATCTAGTGACGTTCGGCAGATTTTTCAACCAATTGAGGTGGCCCAACTAGCTAGCATTAATAGTCAAAACATGGAGACTGATCAACCTCATATGCCGATTCATGCGTTCTACTCATTTTTCTAGTTTCGCGTATATTATGAAGTTGAACAAAACTATGATACTTTTAATTTCATAGAGAAATTTTATGTAGCACAAGTATTACTTGGCATATGATCCTTCCGGAAGGTTATAAAATACGGGGCCGCCGCGCCACTTGTCAAATAGTTAGAAGGGTCACATGCCACGTAATACTTGTATTAGACACAACATAAAATTTTTCCATTTTTATTATTGTACTCTATTCCTTGCCCCTTCATTTAATAACCTTCATTGACCATGCTAAAGTTGTTTTTGTTTTCCCCTTAGTTTTAATTTGGTGATAAACAAAAGGTTTACAAAGTATGGTGAGTAACACCTAGCATAGAGAAGGGTGTAGCATGAACAACTGAGGTGCATACAATTTTGATTTACTTAAGCGTTAACACAATATATATTTCACAACTTAATATATTTATATTTTATTGGTCATTTAGTGGAGACAAGGTATAATCTTGCATTGGTCAATGATGCTTAAACATGTATTAAAATGTACAATTGAAAAAAAGTCTTTATTGCTGTCCAACTGCTTCTGCTGGCGGAGAAGGTGAGCTATATGTGCTTTTCATGTGAGAATATTTTTTTGTAATTAGCTAAGCAATCAACTTATTTATCTTTATTTATGTTTTTTAATTTATTTTTATGCATAACAGAATAATAACTAAAATATTGGAATGTTAAGGATGTAAAAACATATGAATGTGATGGGCGTCATATGATTCGATCCCCGAAAGAAATTCGACAATTAACATGTCTTTGGTAAAAACTCATTATTTAGATATCCACGTGCAATACACATGTAAAGAAACTTGTTCAGTTAAGGATTCATTGTTGCAAAATTATTTTAAAGTTTAGTAGAAAATCTTAATTTTTTAGGATTTGGTTTATTTAATTCATGTCTACGTAAGATTTATAGTTAGAATTAATATAGGAATATGCTTTTCTATTTCTAGTTGAAATATGTTTTGTACTATTATAAATAGGGGGTATTGATAACTTATTTTATGTGTGGAGATTTGTGAGAACTGTAGAGAGCTTTTATCCGCTTTTAATTGCTTAGGATTTGGATTTTCTTTTGCCTGGCTGATCAACAATAATCAAGCAATTATAAACCCACCTGGCTGTTCTTCGACACCATCAGTTGCATTCAGTATAATTATACAAAGTACTTAATTGGCAAAAGCATGAAAGAAATATTTTTTTTTTCAAAAAACCTCAATTTATACGTGGTTTCTAGACAAGTGAACTAATTTGATTCTGAAATAATATAATAATTGAAGAAATACACAATACTTAGCCTTAGAACGTAGATGAAATAGCAAAGATGATGATTCGGTGAACACGGTTCCCGAATACAGCAATGATGAGATCTAAAAGCAAAAAAGTAAAATTGTACAAAGCTTTGTATAAAATATAGTATATGTTCTTGCTAGAAAATTCGTGTCATTTACAATGGTAACTCAACTCACTATTTATAACTATGCCTAGGGAAAAAGGTCTTATCAATTATGAGGATCATTGATGAAGATGTAACGTTGAGTATAAATGTCAAATTCTCTGTAACGGACCGTCGCTCTTAATGCTATAGAATATTCCTTAGTAAATGATACCGGGCACAGAACATTTAATACATTTTTATGAACGTTATACGTTCTAGTGACAAGCGCAGTGGCTGCGTTCGGTCCTCAACCATCCCATCTTGTATTCCACGTGTCCTCCTTTTAATCAGCCACATGTCATATCATATTTTACCCTATACAGATAGTCCCCATGCTTTTCGGTGACATAATTTTGTATTACTGGAAAGTTGATAGAAACACCTTTTGGCGGGAATTACTATAACTCCCTCTGAAGGTCTCTGACAGTTGATTAGACGCACGTCTCTCTGCATTTAATGCCCCGAACATGCGTCATCCCATGATTCAACACAGCTTTTGCCGATTATCAAGGTAATCATGGCCATGAATTTAGCCGCCAGAATTTTGCTTATACGCAACTTTCTTTTCCTTTACGCTTCACAATTGTTTGAGTTTCTTATTTGCATCCTTGTTTTCCATCCTTTTCCTAAATTTATTCAAACACAAACTCGTTACCTTCTTCTTTTCCAATGGCTTCTTCTTCCAAACGTTGTGGTTCTTCAAAGAATAAGAACAAAACTGAGGACTCCATTCCTCCAACAGTGGATTCCATCATCCCAAGGAGGCTTATTACTTTGAAGGATTTTGAAGAGATGTTCCTTACTGCTAACCCTCGTACATGGGATGTTAGTAGGTACCCTTCTTCCATTCTTCATTCCAATATTCCTGCTGTGAAGGAGGACTGTCACTGCAATGAGTTGGAAATCATTGCTCCTGATCTATCAGAGCGAGTGACCCTTCCCAAAGAAAGTTTTTACATGCCTTTTCACGTATCCATTTACTTTGGGTGAGTTTTCTTTGAGCGGTGAGCTTGATTCTGTGATTACGGAGTTTTGCCTTCGCTACCAGGTAAGTTTGGCACAGGTAATCCCTTTAGTGTGGAGGATGATCGCCTGCCTCCGACGCTTGTGCCAAGAAACTAGAGAGGAGATAACCTTAGCTCATGTGATGAATCTATATTCCCCCAAAATCTTCTGCGGAGGGATGATAAACCTTTTCAAGAGTGTAAACCATGCTTTGTTGTCTAGCATGGATGATGAAAACGGTCGTGGGTGGATGGAACGGTTCGTTGCAGTTGTCACCAATGACATCATTCCGACAACGGCTTCATCCTTTCTGGTTGCTTGGAATCGCACTCGTAACTTCTTTGTATAATATTCCTCTTACTAGATATTCTTTTATGGTCGTATCATCTCTTCACCCTCCGCATGTTTCAGCAACTCGATGGCTCCCACCGGTGGTGAAAGGTTTGAACCGGTGGGTTCAGAAGATTTTGGACGTCACAACGCCTAAAACTCATTCGTGGAAAGTATTGGCCCTTAAGTACGGGTGGAAGGCCAAAAATCATGGTAACTCTAATTTATCTTGCTTCCATTTTTGTATATGGAGAACTTGGTTGAAGCCTTCTAACTTTGTTCATGGAATTAGGCCTACCTGCGGGCTCTGTTGATGTCCTCCAGGAGGACGTTCTGCTTATCCTTCTGATGCAGCGAGACTGCTTCAGGAAGCACTTACTCGAACAAGTATCTTCGGGCCTGTTTCGGGTCCAAATATTTCTTTACGGAGTCCCCGGCCGGAGGATAAACAAACAAACAGAAGACGCTCTTTCGTGGTCGGGGAAAAGAATAAAAAGGCAAAGACGAATGCCCCCGAATCGTCTCCGGTGGCGATGATGATTGGTCCTCCTTCTGGGCCGGTCGTAGATACCGTGGTGATTGATGATGATGATGAAGTTGTTGATGAGGGAGCTTCTTTACACAGAAGGCGACGATCCTCATCATCTCAACAGGATAGTCAACCTGTTGAGATAGTCGCAGCAACTGAAGACGATGTCTCAACACTTTAGGGAGAATCTAATTTAGTAGAATATGCGAACTCCTGCTTCCGGGCCCCAATTGGTGTAACCGGTACTGCGAGGCTAAGTACCGGGTCTCTGCCGCCTTTGGTTGGCGAGCATCAAACAATCAGCACTACATTGGATGCAGTTGCTTCTCACTCTTCAACTCCATCAGCTTCATCTCCGCCTTCACCAACACCAGCAACTGCTACATCATTTCCATCTTCGTCTACTATTCCACCAGCGGTTGCTACATCATCTCCACCGGCCGCACTTGACCATGAAGAAGGTGTTCCTCTTCCACAGTCCCCAGTTCATGGGATTTTGGGTCAAAATTATGCTGCTTCTTCTGAATATCTCCAAAGGAGGAGGAACATCACTCTTTCAGTCTCTACCTGGTGCAACCTACTATCCCGGCTGGTGGAGCTTGATAATTACGTGAAGTCTTTGGCTTCAAAAAAAGACTGGGAAAAGATTCAAACATTCTCGGGAGAATATTTGTTGAACAATGCTATGTATAATTTCGCAGCGGTACATTCCTTCCTTTCTCTGTTATTTCTTTTACTTTGAACGAATGTACTCTAAATTTTACCTCTTCTTATTTTATAGGCCAACTTTCTTGCTTCTGAGGGCCTTCAAAGGTTGATTCGTGAGAAGGAAGAATTTACTTCTGAACGAGATCAACTTTTGGCGGAACGGGACTAGACTATTCTCCGCCTCTCGGAACTGGAAACCAGAGCTGCTGAGGATATTGTTTTAGAGGCTCGTTTACAGCAAAGCGAGTAAGAAGTGGTAACCCTTAGCCAAGAAATTGCGCCGATGAGTGTTAGATTTGATAAGGCCAAGGCCAAATGGACAGAAGTCCAGAACGTCATTCTTGCTGCAACCGACCGCGAGGCTGCCTCCGCTGAAAGAGTGATTAACTTGGAAGCAACCTTGAACTCTAAAAGTGAAGAGCTTGCTGTTGTGGAGGCGAAACAAACCCAGTTGGAAGAGAAGTATAGGAAAACTATCGAGCATAATAGGCTCTTTAGTTTAACTGTCTGTGAGATCGATATCAGCCTCCAATCTGCTAGATCTGCCCGGAAAAACCTTTTCGTCGAGGTCACTCAACTCAAAGAAGAACTTAAGCGCCGAATGACTTCCCTCATTATTGAAAAAACTTATTCTATGTATAGCATGAGGAGAAAAACCTTGGAAGAGGCCAAAGCTGGTATCATCGATGTTGATGCCGAAATTGCTAA